AGTCTGATAAAGTCACAACAAAAATATTCTATGACGCCATGAAGAAACGGAGTGAAGCGTGCGCACCTTTGCTCAGAATTGAAATTACATATTACAGCTGATATTAAGCCAATAAAGAAATAAAATAATAAAACAACTTGCGACCAGATCCCCTCCTAAGCATGATAGCATTTCAAGCTACTTTATATGATACCTTCTCGCTATAGCTGTCCTGCACAAAGGCATTACCACTGTTAATAAAGTGGTCATCCCGGTAGAACAGGTCCACAAGTGTACGGCGATCCTGATCCTTACAGTACTGCAGACAAATGATAGTCATGTCAAAGTGAATATATAGATTTCACAATAGCCTGGGTGGCAGGTACAAAACGAGGGAAGGGGGAGGGAGAGAAAAAGAGAGTGAAGGGAAAAGGTAGCAGAAATGAAAAAAGTGGTCCTAGAGCAGGCTTCCCTTTCCCACTTTCACTTTTTTCAATACCTCTTAAGACGCCTGCCACACAGTTTAATGATTTACAATAACCGAGTGTTTTCTGCGCCCCGATTGGTCGACAGGTTTTGCTCATGACAGTACAGAGAATAGAAACGAAAGATCCTTCTCGTCTCTGTCTGTTGAGTGCGATTCTCCAAGACATTGTAGAAAAACAACAACAAATAACTAGACAAGTAGCCATTTGTCACTGCCGAGGCTCCGACATTTCAAAGAATTGACATTAGATGGTACAAACGATACCGTAAAACCACTCACTCCTCCAACATTTTGACGTCATTTTTGTGATCTTAAAGAGTGAACGCATAAAAGGAAAAACGTTTCCTAGCAAATACAATATTAGCGTTACGTTGAAGGGCCTTACGGCAAGTTTTCTCTTGGTTGGAGCCTTGAACAAATACACACTCATTTACACAACTCTTTTCTCATAGACTCACCTTGATGTGGAGGCTGAGTGCCACAGGACGGTAACGTATGGCCATCAAGAACTCGCCAGGAATTAGATTATCCTTCAAATGCATAACAACCATAAATACTAGACAGAAAAAAAAAAGACAACACAAATCAAATGTCATCTGGATACAGGGGAAAATCAAGTAGGCGGGTTTTGGATGACGGCGGTTCGGATCCATCAATTTTGATCACCTGAGCACAGAAAGCTGTTACCATTGGAGGAGAGCATGTAAGGATCAAGATGGTTGAGATATACTTGAAATTGTGTCAACGGCAAGAAAAGATCAGAATAATAAGCTACAAAACAAGTTCAAAAATGTTTTACGGTTTGCAACTCTGCCCGTGCTTGTAACACCGCTAGTGTAACGCCAACTTTTAGGCTGAGAAAAAGTTGATTCTAATTTTTTTGAACCTTTGGTACAATTTCAACATTACGATAGACCTTCCTATAAGTCGGCTTTTGAGCGACAACGACGAAACAAAACGGACTAAAAAGATCACCAAACGGCTGTAACTAACCGCAGTGGTACCCACTCACAACTCACCCAGATCCGTGTCTCCAATCATAATGGCCTTCTCGAGCGCTAGGTCATCTTTATTCATCCGCATGAGCAGTGGAACTTGGTCAGCGGCTTCCGCCTCATAGTCCAAAAGCTACAGGTAAAAAAAAACAAAAAAACAAGAAGATGTGAGCATCTTGAAAGATACATTATGAATCATGAATTGGCTATGATAGGCTCGTTTACCGATTGTCAAACGACGAACTTACTATGGTGAGATTGCTCCAGCTAGAGGTCAAGGCTGGCTTTAAGCCAGGTTGTAAGCAGGTCTCCTCGTGGAGGCACAGGCGGCGAAGCCACGAGAAAGGCCGTAGGCAAAACCTGGACCGCAGAACCGGATCAGATCATTCCCAGAGGCACTATCCCTTACCTTTTGTTATTCAGTCAGTTACAGGGGTTGATCTGGTTCGGTCTGTTCCAGGTGTTGTTGACGTCCCATGAAACGAGCATGTTGGTAACCCCTCGAGCGAACCACGGTGAAAGCTAAGAATTTATATTAATCAATTAAGTTGACATAGGAAATTTGGCATAGTAGGGACATTTCGAGTGCTAACCCTTCGGTCAGTCTGACGAAGGGCTAGAGCATAAAACTTCAACATGTTTTTTTTATATTGAATTAAAAACTTCAGTTGTTAAAACCCTCGATGTTCCTTTCCCCCATCCTCTTCTTTGCAGCCGTAAGTTTTGTTTCTCGACGGGTGCCCAAATTTTAAAAAAAATTTTTCCGAAAGTTTTTTTTTCATTGTACTTTGCTTCCGGGAATTTCTAGAATTTTCGATTGAATGCATGGTTCACATTTCGGAAATTCAACATCTTTCGGAATTTCTGGAAACTTTTCCTGGACATTTCTGTACCATTTGCCGCTGTTTCCAATTTTCGAACGTTTTGGTTGAATGGAAAGCGCCCGTTGTTTTGCAACAACAACAACGTCAAACAACAATTGGTTTTATGAGCAAAACGACTGCTCTGCACGTGAATCACGCTTTTTGGTACATTTCTTTGACGTCCACTGCACGACTACGACGTGAAACCTCCCAATGCAACGTTTTATGGAGGACGTGGACATACGAAAACAAATTTTCCGTTCTCGATTTGAACATGGATAAAGACAATAGGAATTTAACTCCAGGAAAAGTCGCCGACATTTAACGAATTAAGCGGTTCCAAATAGACGCGATAAAGATTGAAAGGACGCGGGAAATTCATTTTCTTAGTGACGTTTTCACTGCCGTCGTCGTCGTCATTGCTTAAGGTCCCTGATAAAGTGCAGCGCTGAAAGCAAGCGAGGTCTTAATACTCCAGGTACGGAAACAATTCTTGATTACCCACAGTAAACGCAATTCCGCAGGTAAAAAACCCATTCTATATCAACCCACGTTATTTTGAACCTCGTGCATTTAGCAAGGAAATACTAACGTCAGACACCAGTTTATGTCCCAAATTGAACTGGGAACGTATAGTCTATAATTATACTGTTCATGTGAATGCTCTCAACTAACCTTGATGGCCAGGTGCGTTCGTCCACAGTCAACTGCCTTTGAAGCTATTTCTGAGTAAGATATCCCAGGAGTCTCTCCGAGCTTGGAGTTGATGGCACGAGCAATCTCTTCGTCATCAACATTGGCTTGCTGAACCTGTTTAAACAAGAAAAGCAAGTTTTGAAGAAGTGAAGGATCGAAAGAGATGTCAATATATTCAACACAAGAAAAACTATTTACGGACACTATTGTATTCTACTAGGGCGGAGAAGTTAATTTCAATGCGATCATCCGGCCAGCCACGTGAAAGTCCAACTGTTTATTTATTGAGGAAATAGAACACAACAGGATTAAAAACCCCAACTGGCAGGAGGCAACCAGATGGCTATTTACAAGCATTTACAAGCATGACCGGGTATCTGAACTTGGAAATACCGCGAATAAATTCAGCAAGTGGCTAGAGTGGGACTCCAACCCGGGACCGGCGGATTGCGAAAACAACGCGATGGGCGCCTGGCCACGCTGTCTTCACCGCGTACAATCCACTCTAATTGATCTACATCTTTTCATAGGTTGATTTTGTGATCTTTGATAAATACACAGATCTTTTCATAGGTTGATAAATACACAAACACGAAGAGAAATGAGCCAAATTCAGCACATGAAACAACCACGGGACACCCAACTTCAGTCATGTCTACTGCCACAACTATAATTCACCATTACCAATTTTATTAATTACCAGCCATAAGCTGATTGCGGGAAGACCCCTGCTTACATATAGGTAACAGCCAACCGGTATCCGCTGGTTACACCCACTTTATAACGAGCCAAGTGTCCAAGGATGCGACTGGCACCCTCCCCCTTAGAAATCTTCCAGTAATCACAGATTCTTATGGCCAGACAGTAGTGACGCCTCAAAACAAGCCTACAGGAGCAGAAAATAAACGGTAATAAAATAAACTTAAGGCAAAGAATTCCCGCTCCAGATCTGACGGCGGGAAAATCAATGTAGTAAACACGGTTTAGACACGGAAAGTAGGCAAGTAAAAAAACAAAAACTTTGCTTCAACTTGTTTTATATTCACTAGGAATATAAATAATTTTGATATTTAGAAATGACTTAAGTCCAACCACGTTACCATTTTAGTCAGGCAAAAGAGAAAGGTTATCGGACATACATCATATTCATTTTGCTTTTTTTTTCGCAAAAGTACTATTTCGTACTATGTACTATAGCGGGTCTGTTGTATAATCAATAAAAATTTCGACCCTCCACACTATAGAGCTCCCAGCAGCTCAGTGGGGAGAGCGTCCTGATCTTGAACTCGAAAGGTCGTGAGTTTGATTCTCACCTGAAGCTCGGAACTTATTGAACGTTTCATAGTGCAATAAACACTTAAACACTTAATGACTGGACTCGAGGGAAACAGTTAAATTTGTTTTCCGAGAATCTCAATGTTTCCCGAGGCTATATAGCTGGAAATTCATTAAACCTCGCTTCCCTCGCTGTAACGGTCATGTGACCTCGGAGAAACCAATGAGAGCGCGCACTGTTATGAAAAAATTTCCAGCTATACGCAATACACCTTTTTTACCGCCCCCTCCCCCTCAAAAAATGCTTAAGCATTGCACGTTTTACCTTTTTTAAAAAGATAACAAACAGCGTGACAAAAACAAAACTCACCTGTTGATAAGGGTCTTCACTGTTACTTTTTCCAGTCTAAGACGATCGTCAAGGCGTCAAAATTGGATAATTTTTGAAAATAACCAGAGTACTCTCAGAGGACAAAAAAGCAAAATGGAGCCCAGTTTAAGAACTTAATAAGAGCCACAAAATTGAAAACTATGTTAACGTACTTTTATCATATCCATTTCAAAAAAGAGAAAAAGGAACATATATATCTCGTTCGTTCCCTGTAAAAGAAAAAAAGTAATTTAAACCCCGCAGTTTTGCCCCGGTACATAAATCGCACCGAAATCACCGTTCTCTTGTGTGGACAGAAACACTCTCCGATATGGTTTCTGTCCCGACGCAAGAGCTATCTGGCATAGTGTTAGACTAAGAAGAAAAAGTTTCCGCGCAAGTTCGTCGAAAGTGTTGGGACTAGAGCAATGATAACTTACTTGAAGATGACGTGAACTGCGGAAATGCAAGTTTCAATGAAGATATGATCGTCGCAGCGGAAATTCCAATTTAAGCAATTGCAAATTAACCCGAAAAATAAAAAAAAATTTTCGTGTTGCTACGGAGGCTAGCATAGTGTACACTTGCTGCAACACACGCTGCAATTGGGCAAAACGTAACCTGTGAGACGAGGCTTTTGCAACAACTGAAATTTGGTTCACTCTTGAATTAAGATAAAGGATATTGTCCATATGTAACTGGAATTCCAACCATGTAGTCCCGCACGGCGTTTAACACTCTAAGATTCGGGCACATCGAAACAAACGCGTGTGGCGGCATATCAGTTCGAAAACTCTCACCAAAGGAAGCAGCCTAGCAAAGAGAAGAAAAGATTACAGCTGAGATTAGTAAAAAAAAAAACCGGTTATACTATAGGTGGAATTTTCCCCAACATCGACCGCCGGAGCGCTCTTATTGGTTACTACGAGGACACATGACATGTTACACGAGAACTATTTCCCGCCTAAAATCTCTGACCAAGCGACGTTGCAAACTTCGCTTGGTAGATGGTAACAGAGCAGTGTTATCGGCGAATGTTGACCACTCGCTGAGATTTGCTATACTTTCAATTCATCCTGTATAACTGAAGAATCACTGAATGACGCCGAAGAAAAGATTACAGCGGAGATCAGTTTAGAAAAAAACGGTTCTATTATAGGTGGAATTTTCCCCAACATCGACCGCCGGAGCACTCTTGTTGGTTACTACGAGGACACATGACATGTTACACGAGAACTATTTCCCGCCTAAAATCTCTGACCAAGCGACGTTGCAAACTTCGCTTGGTAGATGGTAACAGAGCAGTGTTATCGGCGAATGTTGACCACTCGCTGAGATTTGCTATACTTTCAATTCATCCTGTATAACTGAAGAATCACTGAATGACGCCGTCGTCGAAAGCATTAATGAAGTCCTTTATGTCTCTTACTACACTCCTCAAATAGAAACATAATGGACGAACTATTGGCGCTCTTCGCTTTCAATTCAAATTACCCTGATACACTGAGTACAGATTTTCTTTTCACGGCATCACGTTCAACGATTTATGCCCAAGCGAAGGAACTTCAGCAGATTAACCAAAACATTTTTAGTAGGAGGTGGTGATTTTGCCACGGAAAACAGATAATGTATTTTTCAAACAATGGTAAATTTATCTAGCAGTTTACAGAACACCAATCACTGTGTAAGAAACCTTAAACTTGTCAACGAATCCCCCACCCCCTGGGGGCGGGTTGCTGTGAGAATCGAAACATAGCAACTGAACATAAGGATCATGTGGTTACCATGACTACCTCCGAAACTATACTCACCCTCAGCAGTCCTCTTTGTATTGCAGGCTCATGTTCCCCGGCAGCGGCGTGGATACATTGCTGGACAGCCTCAGGAAGCCGTTCTTTGATCATCCGAATGTACTCCTCTGCTCGGGCGCTCTTTTTCTGTTTACAGGAATATACATGAAAGAATCATAACGACAGTTTAATTTTTAGGGATTTAGTTTTTGGTGCAGTTTAGAATCTTTAAGTTGAAACTTTAAGGTTGTTCGTCAGGTATTCTTTTTATTATCATGCTATGGTTTTCTTCATTCATTATTGTTCTTTCTTATGAATTCTGTAAAGCCCTATTGAGCTTTTGGACTGAAATAGTGCTATATAAATAAAGTTGATTATTTTTTATTATATGGAGAAAAGTTGGCTCAGCTAGGATGGTGACCTTACCAAGGAAAACAGGTCACCCAACAACAGGCTGCCCAGGGTGGCTCGCAGTGGAGGGTCCAGACCTTCAGATAAGGGGGAGCCCTGTCATTCAGACCCCTGAGATAAGGGGGTGCGGTCCCACCCCAGGATCCTGACCCCTCCCCTAGATCCGCCACTGGCTTGGGTAGGCGGCTGAGCCTTTTATCCGGGACAACTTTTTCCCAGAGAGAGTGAAGCATTGCTTACCTCAAATTCCTTTGATGCATCAAACAGCATCGCACCTGGTTCCATTGAGCCGATTTTAAACACTTGTTCGACAGCAGCTGAAAGATGAATAGAAATAGTTGCTCTAGTATCGGACATAATTATTCACATTCGTGATTAGAAGTGGTTCTGGTTTAACGGTAACCGGTCAAGTCGCCCGAAACCAGAGTCATGTCGCCCGAAATCCTAAGTCATGTCGCCCAAAATTTTATCGAGTGTATAGACTTGAAGAAAAGTAACATCTGAAGTATATCGCAAGGAATTTAGTCGAACAATGTAGACTCAACTGTGTCCGGTAACCTACGCAAATGTGAAGTTAAACAAAGACGCAAATATAGATGTTTACTTCAAGCGACATGACTCAAGATATCGGGCGACATGACCATGATTTCGGGCGACTTGACCGTGAACCGATTGAACAAGTCACTGGAATAAAGTTTAGGGCTTTCTGCTTGTTCGTGACAACAGGGTACCTATTTTTTTTTGGGGGAATACTGAATGTAGAGTCAGTCCAATCTGCTTCCGGGGAGTAAGTTGAAAAATCACACATGAGCCACAGCAAGACCACACTGAGCTGAAGGTTTAAGTCAACAGTCTTGAGATTTTATTTCGCTTTAAGCACCTACAGATAACGACACGCTTTAATTTGGAAAAGCATCAAATATCTGTAGAGAAGAAGTAAATCTCAAGGACATCCCGGCCACCAACAGGGATTGTTATTTTTGGCTGTATTTCGATAGCTTTATGAATCGAGAACAAGACAGAATATCTGCGAGCATTTTGAAACCTTTCACTTGTAGTCTGCTAATACAGCGGTTTCACCTTGCTCCTCGTTGCTAGGGAGGTTTTGCCAGGAGGAGAAACCGCCCGCAATCAACGTAATCATATTTACCAACCTGGAACTCGCTGAAGCAGTTCATGAGTCTCGTTACCAATGATTCTTACGCCATCTAACTCTTGAACTAAATGAACAGCACTGTCCATCTGATATGTGAAATATGTTAAGAAAGTGTGCTATCCGTAGCATATGCATATTTATTAAAACTGAACCATTGAACAATACAATTAAAGACCTCAGATTGGCTTAGCCATCATGGTATATGAACCATATACCAAAAATTGAAAATCGGTTGTTCTTACAAATGAAGTCCGGAAGAATTCACGATATTTTGTGGGCGTTTTTAATAAACAATTATTCCACTCATATTCAACGCGCACTCGTGGAGTAATTGTTAAATATATGGCAATAGCGTGTTCAATGAAAGAAAAAAACTACTCATATCTTAAAATTTCCAATATTCTACGGCAGTAACAGAAAAAATTAAACTACACTAGTAACAATTGTCAGTTCAAATCAAGGGTGTTTTTAGTAACACGATCAATATATAATTGCAGCATGACAGCACAATTACCAACTTGGCCAAGCCAACATTTACAACAACAACAAGAACAATTTTTAATTCTAGCATGCTCTAACAGTTAGATAGCTTGCCCCGTAAATAGTTGGAAAGCTAGTCGGATCATGATAAAGAATGATCTTGTTAATCAAAGGATATCTAACAGTGTCCATTGTCGGTCCAACAACATCCAAATAATCGTCCCAGTAACATATGACAGCACCCATTGCACACCTGTAAGGTAAGTTGAAATAAGTAAAGATCGGAACACACAAGGAGACGAGTTGCAGCAACACGTGTCGGCGACAGATTACTCTCTGTGTACAGGTCAGGAGATCAGTTTAAGCAACACGTTGTGGCGACACATCGCTAGATGGGTGGCGGAAGAAAGAAAAATACTGAGGGCTCTTAGTTTGTATTCAAAAGAATGGCCCGGCCAAACGGGCGAGAATTTGTCATAAAAGACGAGAGCCTTCATTCTAGAAACAACAATTGCTCCCTCCTTACCAGGTTAGTTGCTTGGGTCTTGATGGACAAGAAGTATTGAACTCACAGTAGACTTTCTAAAGAAGACAGAAATACAACAATAACTGCAAAATTCAAAGAACTACGAAATACAGGCGCACTTAAGTTGACCTCTTCAGGGCCTGGCCTAGCGGCCCGGGTTGCTAAGCTTCCTCGCTTTGCGGAGATGTCGGAAAATTAAGTGAACGCAATAAAAATCAACTTTGCGATGACATAAAATTTTTTTTGCAAGGTTTCCGAGGAAGAAGTGGCTAAACTAAATTAATGATGATATTTTAATTTTACGGGTCTTCATTCGTTACAAGAAAAGATACCTCAAATTCAAGTAGTATAAACAAAAGCCTTTTTACACACCTTCTTCAAACCTGGGTATAGAATTAAAGCTAGTACTGCTAGTTGAATTAGACCGCCACTCGTTCTCATTTTCTAAGAATCAGAGTCAACTCGGCGCTAGCTGCTCGAACTCGTCCTCTGATAGCTGAATTTGCGGGCTGAACAGTGTAACAGCGTTATACCCACCTGTAAATCTGCTGATCCTATCCATAACAAACCAGTGTCTGTAAACATTGCTAGGTATTCATAATTGTAAGATATGGCCATTTCTATGATGGAAGTGATCGGGACCCCAGCGCTGAATGAAACAGTCTGAAAATTGAATAATATCAAAACTATTCAACAACAACAGTAGCCAGCGAGCATACTCACTTGTGTGAGTTCGGAGAAAAATTTGTCAACATTATAAACGATCGAGACTTCGCTATTTCATATTTCAAGTTGTGACACTGATAAGCCAGAGATGTACAATATTGTCATTGCGACATCTCAACACACTTCTCTATTTTTTTCCCCTCTGTTCCTTCCTTCTCCCCGCACCCACTGCTTTGCTACGCCCTGTGGCTGATTCAGGATTGGTAAAAAGTAGCAACCTGTCGTACACTTGGCACTCAAGAGGAAATTTACGATGTCGAGACAGCAACAGCAAAGAGAAAATCAAAAAGTCAACAGGACGAATTTTTGACCGGTTGAAAATTCGAACGTTCACTCGAATTCGCAACCACGATTTTTCGCGCAAGCCGCAACACGGCGTTGCAACATTGTTGCGATATTGTTTGGAATGGTTGCAACATTGTTCCAACATTGCCACCCTGTATTGCTCTCAAAATCGACGTTACGAATCGTTTCGTGTAACATCACCTTTACAAACAGTGTGTGGGTTACACGAGATGATTCACAACGACAGTTTTAGCGCAACACAGCGTTGCATCATTGTTTCGAATGGTTGCAACATTGTTCCAATATTGCAACGGTGTGTTGCGCTAAAAATCGTTGTTACGCATAGTTCCGTATAACATCACATTAAAGAGGAGCAGACGTTGACCCCAGTGTGGAAATTCTAACGTGACTCCGAGGTTTAACTCCATTTTCTGACTTGCCTAGAAATTCCCAGAGGAGAATTGAGCACTAACAAAACCAAACCAAATATAGAAAAATGACCAGAAAGCCTCGGAGTCACGTTAGAATTTTAATATTTCGAGCGTGGGCTACTCATGGCGTAAAGCACCTTTGATGTGATACGTATGTGATCCTGCCAATATTGACAAACCTACGTAAATAATCTGGTTCCCAGGGTTCTTTTGTACTCGTCCCTACGAAACGAGAAAGAGATGATTTTTAAAGTTAATAACCCCCATCCAGTTCAAACTTATCACCAAGAAAGGAAAGGGAAACACAAGCAGATGTTGAGTTCTTTAGATCACAAAAGCATGTGAGAAGAACATGTAACTTCAGAATTATTGATCTCTCTGAAACACTGAACTATATGTATTTTTTACCTGGAGGATCATAATACCGTCGACTCCTGACCTCTTCCACGTTGTTTGCAACATAAAAGTGGTAATTACTAGTCAGGATAGCTATGCCAGTCCTTCCAGCAAAATTATAGGTTTTGCAGCCAATAACTTTGGATTCCTTGGCATCCTACAAAAAAATGCAGATACAAATTTCCATTTGTCTCCTATGTATACCAGACTTAAAGGCACCAGATCTTAAAATGAAGTTGCCATGTATTTGATAAGGCCACATGTAAAAACAAAACACAAAATGTAAATATGTTACAGGTCAAAATCATACTCAGATTAAAATTTTTTAAACTTGGTTGATTCTCAGTTTCCTTTGTCTCATAGCCCTAATTCATGAATAAATTAGGACGAGGAGACAAAGGAGATAAAGAATCAACCAAGGCTAAAAACGTTTGACCTGAATTGAAATTTTGACCTAAAACATACAAGACATATGGGTATATTCAATGGCTATGCCTTTACTACAGAAAGTGTATGAATGTGTATCAGTTCTATTTTAATTTATTTAAAAAAAGTAGTAAACAGTCTATGACTTCTGTTTTTGATGATAATATAATTTCTATAAATTACAAGCATTTTGCTTATGGTCATGGAAAAATTGGTGATTATTTAATTTATCAGAAAATTGATTTACTTGGGGTAGTTAAAGAATTTACTGACATAAGATATGGCATCAATCGGCTAAGATCATGAGGAGCTTCATGTTAACTAGAAGTAGTCAAGCAGTGGTGCTTTACAAACATACACGTATAATGTCTTCTTTTTCAGTCTTTCCATGATGCAAAATGATTTAACACTGACCTGTTCCATTGACAAGGTTTTCTTGATTGCGCCATGAATAATTATCATACACCATTACAGTACCATCATCAGCCACGCAAAGTAGGTCCTCTGTGACGGACCATCCCATCTGAATTATGGGGCCTCCATCCCACTAAGAATAAAAAAGAACACTTGATCAATAGCCTACAGAAGCAGAACATACTTGTTTTCGGCCTTGTTCCCATGCAGTGATGGACTAGCCTGTTTCACAGCCATTTTTGATGTTGTCATGCAATGCTCCTTCCCACAAAGGGAGGTGGGGAGGAGCGTTGTGTGACAACACAGGGCTTGAAAATTTTTTGGAAGTATTTATAGCCGTGGGCTAGCTGGCATTTCCTACTTTACTAGCCCAGAGCCTGAGAGTTAGCTCTAGCCCAGTACACATTTGCAAAGTGAGCCAGTCTTACGACTTGTCTGCTAACGATGGATATTTTTTGTGACACGTTTCGCAAAACATTACGCCCTTTTCCTCGTCATACTCCACCCATGGCCATTTTGTTTTCCTTTGTGGAAGAAACATATGTTTTCGCTGGGTATCATACTTCTTGTTTTTGGTTTGAATTTCATCTGCAGCAGCTGGTCCATCTAATATTATTTCTTTTCCTGTTTGAAGTTCAAGACTCCGAGAACCAAAATCTCCTGAAAACGAGACTTGGAGACCTATCCAAAATGCTTCTAAGATTTTGAGATTGGGCCAAACTTTTTGGAGACCCACGAATTTCAAGGAACCAAGCTTCACCCCTACAAGTGGCCTGCTGAGGCTGATCAACGCTCCTCTTTGTTTGTGTTCACAAGTTAAACAACAATAAGGAAAACACATACCTTAACTGTGGCAAGTTCCCTTCCAGCAGAGGAAAAAATGTGAATGATGGGTTTATTAATAGCTGATCCTTGGACTCGAGCAAAATGCTTGTCATCTCTTATCAGAGCTGAAAATTTTTAATAGAAACAAATAAAAACTTTCCCTCAAAAAAGGAAATGAGGAAGTCTGAAGGACATTGTAAATATTCAGGTCTACCGTCCTCACTCCCCATGTATGTAAAAGTGTACGTGAGTTAGCGATTAGTAATATTGTGCATATTTAGCAATTAAACCTGGTTAAATCTTAATCATTGCAAATATAGGACCACAGGGACAGGGGGCAATTCAGCAAGGAGCCCTTCAATAATAATAAAAATAATAATAATAATAATAATAATAATAATAATGACTTTATTCAGCATTTCTACTAGGTGGCTCTTTATCTCTTTTTAAATTATTACTGACTGTTGAACATCTACATGCAACATGGGACTGTGGGTAGAAAAATATAATATTGTATTAATTGCATGTTTTATGCACTAGCTGTTCTAATATTAATAATAAGAAGCAGGATGTTCTTCAGAGTTGTTTTCTTCCTTTAAACTTTTTCAGCCAAATCCCTTGACATGTACAGACAGTTGATTGAAACAAAATTCTGTGACTGTTACAGTATAATGGAATCTTGCTGCTATAAATATAAATTATATTTATAGCAGCAAGAGTCCATTATACTGCAACAGAATTTTGTTTCAATCAACTGTTTTACAAATACCCATACTTGCAGTGCTGTGAACATCATTTAGAACTATGGTTCTGGCTCTTAACCCTTTAAGCACTAAGGGTGATCAGCATCAAATTTCTCCTTGTAATGTTTTGTAAAACAGAGTGGTCATAAGAATTATGGCCATGACCACACAAGATGAATTTGCTTGATATTTTATCAACTTCTCCCCATTACTTCTGTAGAAAATGAATAGGGACAACAAATTAGAATTCCAATTTTAATCTCAGGGTTTATAGGGTTACACTTTCACCCTAAGGGAGGGGGGGGCTATTTTGCATAAGATAAATGCAAGTAGATGAAATCCTTTCTGTACACCCTGTGGGTTAAAAAACACTTAGAAGGAGTCTGATGTACTTACCTATTAGACCACCAAAAGGTGCTGCACTCACAATAAACCAGGATAGCTTCACAGCGTCTTGCTACTCCATACTGTACAGCTCTACTTTCCTTTTGAAGAAAAACATTTTGTGACAGAAACTTTTGCTGTAAATTATTCAATATATTATGGCTACAGGGTGTACATTTAAAATATTTCTCCATCCCTGACTGATTGGCTTAAATTCCATGGCTGCCTGAGTATTTCTGATGTCAAAAGTAAAGTCTCAGACTGGAAAAAGTAAAAAAGATTAAAGGTGCACACAAGCCAAAGGCCCAAAATGGCTGGAATTTCTCCCAGTTTCCTTAGCATAAAGCATGCTACTCCCCCCTTAATGGGATGCTAGTTCATCACATGGTTACCTCCTGGCAGTGTGTGTTGCCAGTATCGATTTAAACACCTGTGTGAAGAGCAACAAAGTGGAGTAAGGTTCCATGTCTAAGGAATCAATTTGACAGGCGAGGATTGAACCTTGGGCCTCCAGATCCGGAGTTCAAGGTCTTAACTGTCCTGTCAGACACACCTCCAAACTGGAAAAGGATACACAGAAATCAAGCAAAGAAGCAGAGTGATGGTTTGGCTGTTTGGGTGATAGAGACCAAGAGTAAATGGTGGAAGATTTCTTATGTTATGGGTAGATTAACACCTGACTCGCACATGGAGGTTAGGCGCCTACAGGTAGAACCTAGGGAATGGAGCCGTCAACCCCTAACCCAGGTAGCAAGAACACCCCACAAGCCTGCCCTACTTACAACCCAGCCACAAGCCCCGCCAGCCACACCCAGCCCCAGCCCAAGCACCCATCACACTGAACTGAGAGTTCAGTGAAGAAATAAGGACCACAATAATACTAAAACAAAAAAACCCTGAACACTATGCACTGTAAAACTACTAGACTAAGTACATGCAAACTCAGATGCATAAATTACAAACCACTGACCCAGGGGACCCTGGAAATCGTCCTGGACAGGGCTTCTGGTATTTCACCCGGTTGCGGAGCCGGGAAATTCAGGTAAATCCGCGAAATCTCACAAAATTCAAAAAACACAAAAAATACCGTGAAATTCAGTAGAAATCTTATCAAATACATGTCTGTACAACACATTTGAAACTTATTTTAGCTATTGGGGCTATTTACTTGCCGTAAACTTGCAAATTTATCTTCGAACTTCGTGACTGAAACGTGCAAACAACATCCCGAAACAAACAGGTGTAGATTATGTTGCGAAAAACTGGGCACTAGCCGTGCTATTAAAGGCTTTGCCATTGGTTCATTTCTGGAATGTATTGTTGTTGAAAGAGCAAATGATGACCTCTGTTAGAAAAAAGTTAAAAACACTGGTCCGATCAGCGCAAAACCAATTGATTTCTAGCAAAGTTTGCCTTGAAAATAACCACAAAATCGGCCGTTTTTTAACGATTGCTTTTTGGTGAAGTTTGCCCCGAAAACTCCTGCAAAATTAGCGTGAAATCGGCAGATTTCTCTGCGAATTTGTCCCTAACAATCCCGCGAAATTTGACTGTTTGTTCCGCGACCTGTCAGAAGCCC